TGGCAGTTTGACAGGCTTGTTTAGGATACAGGCTTGAAAGGCTTGCTTCTTATGCTTGCTCGCTTGATTTGAGCAGGTTGTATGCAGGCAAGCAGGTTTGCTAGTTACAGGCCTCAAGGCTTGTTGCCTTAGGCTTGCTTCTGGTTGCAGTTTGTTTTGCTTGTGTTTTTTGGTTACAGGCTTCAAGGCTTGTGTTTTATGCAGGTTTGAAAGGCTTGTGTTTTATGCAGGTTGGGTGCAATTTGTAACTTTGTTGGTAACAGGCAAGCTGCTTGTTTGCTTTCTTAGGATACAAGCTTGGAAGGCTGTAACAAGTTTTTAGGCCTGTTAGTTTGCTTGCTTGAAGGCAGTTTGTTGGTAACAGGCAGGCTGTTGTTTGTGTTTACAGTTTGTGGCCTTTTTCTTTATGTGTTCTGCCCCCTGGTTCTGAACTGAACTCTTTGTTATATATTTCTATATTCTAAGCCTGCCTAAAAAACTGTAAACCTGCTGCTTTTTTACTCTCTTTCTCTCTCTCCAGAAAGCATATCTTTGCTTAGAATATCTTTCTTTTCTGAAAAGGTTTTGGCCAGAAAATGATGAAAAATGTACTTTTACAAGCTTGCTTGCATCTTGGTTTAGCTTCTGCATACTTCCAGATTTTCTGCATTTGCTTTTTGTGTACTTGTATGCAGCTTTGTTGACAGCTCTTGGACAGTTTTGTTGACAGCTCTTTTTGACAGTTTGGAACTTGTAACTTAGTTTGCCCCTTTGACAATTTGGTTTGCCTAGTTTGATAATGCAATTCAGTTTGGATTTATGCAGCTTTGTGTATTTTTCTTAAATGATTTGTATGCTTGCAAACATTTTACTTCCCTCTTTGTGAACCAAGAAGAGACATCTTCTTGCGATTTGCAGAGAGGACGAACAAACTGATTCCGGCCAAAACCTTTAATGATGAGTTTTTGATTAACTGTCTGAAAAATACTTTTCCAAATTAATTGTGTTGACTTCTCCTTTTCTGGCTTTGCAGGTAAACACCAATTGGGGCAAGGGAAGCAGCAGTAGCAGATGAAGATTTCAAGAAACTTAGGATATAGTTTTATTTTATTTTAATCATTTGTAATAAACATTATTATAAATACTGTAAATAAAATTACTGTATTTAAATAACACTTGTACCAATAATTAAAAATAAATAAAAGTCCTTTTGTCAGATAATTCTCTATTTCACTGTCTATTTAATTATTTAAGTTTCTTGAATTAAAATAGCTGGAAGTACATCCCAATTATTCTAACTTAGATAAGATAAATAATTAATAACATTGTAGTCTCACAAACCCTACTTTAACCAGCAATAAGCCTGGCATGTCAGTTAACCAATTGCACAGCTAAACAAACAAACGTCCATACGCCTTTCACTTCACTTGATTAAACTAAAACTGCAAATTTTCAATCAGAAGCCTCAGTTGCTATCCCAGATGTTTAGACTTTGAGAAACAAACAGAAATCTTGAACAAGCGTCAAAACCATGTGATAGTCAAATGAAATGTTGTGGATTCAAAATCTTCTGAGAATGCTCGTGAGAACCCTAATTCTGGATTTACTGTCAAAGAAGCGTCTGCTTGATCAAAACCCTGAGCCAAACTCAACCAAATTAATAAAAACCCTAATAATCTGTTTGACTGATTCAAGAGTCAATGGAAAACCTAATTTTGTCTGACTGATGAGAAAAGTCCGTTTGACCGATTCTTAAGCCAATCTGAAAAATCAGGAAAAGCCCGAAGCTGTGATTTCTTGTGAAAAAGAGAGGGCAAATTTTGGGGTACAACATCAACAAACAAACAAGAACCTCATTTCAAAAGAAGGCAGAATATCAAGTTAAACATATTCCCGAATTGATTCATACTGACATATGTGGGCCAATCACTCCAGAATCCTTCAGTGGAAAAATGTACTTCATTTCCTTTATTGACGATTTCTCACGAAAGACCTGGGTTTATTTCTTGAAAGAAAATTCTGAAGCATTAGAGGTGTTCAAAAAGTTCAAAGTAATGGTGGAGAAGGCAACAAATAGACATATCAAAGCAGTTTGATCTGACATAGGTGGTGAGTACACTTCGATGGCCTTTATGAAGTATTGTGAAGAGTAGGGCATAAGGAGATTCCTAAATGCACCATATTCACCTCAGCAAAATAGTGTGGCTGAAAGAAAGAATCGAACTATTCTTGACATGATTCGATCAATGCTTAAAAGCAAGAACATGTCGAAAGAATTATGGGCAGAAGCTGTACAATGTGCTGTTTATGTTCACAATAGATGTCCACATTCAAAGTTAGAAGATAAAACACCACAAGAAGCATGGAGAGAACATAAGCCAATAATTTCTCATCTCAAAGTATTTGGTAGTGTAGCTTATGCACATGTACCAGATCAACGAAGAACAAAACTGGAAGACAAAAGTCAGAAGTATATATTTATTGGATATTATGAGAAGACAAAAGGGTACAAGCTATTCAATCCCATAAGCAAGAAAATGATCGTGAGTAGAGACATTCAAATAAACGAAGAAAGCAAGTGGGACTGGAAAAATTTGACAGAGGTTATTGACGCAGTCGAAGAAACATTTGTAGTTGTACCAACAAGCATCCCAACAGAACATGAAGATACTGGAGATGAAGATGAACCTCTACAACCCAGAATATGAAGTTTGCAAGATTTATATGATTCGACAAATGAGGTACATCTTGTGTGTCTTCTGGCAGATGCTGAAAACATCAGTGTCGAAGAAGCGTTACTAGACAAGAAGTGGAGAAGTGCCATGGACGAAGAGATTAGAGCAATAGATCGCAACAACACTTGGGAGCTAGTCGAATTTCCAAAAGGTAGTCAACCTATTGGTGTAAAATGGGTATTCAAGAAGAAGATGAACGCTCAAGGAGAAATCGAACGATTCAAAGCGCGACTTGTTGCGAAGGGATACAAACATAAAGCATGAATTGACTATGACGAAGTGTTTGTACCTATTGCAAGAATGCAGACAATTCGATTGCTCATTTCTCAAGTTGCTCAATTCAAATGGCCAATATTTCAAATGGATGTCAAAACAACATTTTTCAATGGTGTGCTCGAAGAAGAAATCTATGTCGAACAACCACTTGGGTATATGAAGATTGGAGAAGAGAAGAAGGTGCTGAAATTGAAGAAAGCGATATATGGGCTGAAGCAGGCACCACAGGCATGGAACACACGCATTGACACATATTTCAAAGAGAATAGATTCGAGCAATGTCCTTATGTACATGCCCTCTATGTGAAGAAAAATGGAAATAATGTATTACTTGTTGCTCTCTATGTTGATGACCTTATTTTTCTAGGCAATGATATTCAGTTGATAGAAGAATTCAAGAGCACCATGACATGCGGATTCGAAATGACAGACTTAGGTATGATGAGATTCTTTCTTGGTCTAGACGTTTGACAAGAAGAAACTAAAATCTTTATCTCACAAGAAAAATATGCAAAAGAAATCTTGGAGAAATATAAGATGAAAAACTGCAAACCAACTTCGACGCTAATGGAATCAGGTGCAAAACTGTCAAAATTTGATGGAGGAGAACATGTCGAAGTAAGCAAATATTGAAGCTTGGTAGGTGGTCTTCGCTATCTCACATGCACAAGGCCAAACATTTCACTAAGTGTTGGCATTGTAAGTCAATTCATGGAGGAGCCAGTACACACACATTGGAAGACATTGAAACGAATCCCAAGGTACATCCAAGAAACAGTGTCACTTGGAATGTGTTATTCAAGAACAAAAGACTACAAGTTAGTTGGTTATTCTGACAGTGACTGGTGCGGAGATATAGACGATAGAAAGAGCACTTTTGGATATGTGTTCTTCATGGAAAACACATCATTTACTTGGCTATCGAAGAAGCAACCGATAATAACACTTTCGACGTGTGAAGCTGAATACGTGGCAACATCTTGGTGTGTTTGTCATGCAGTATGGCTTAGAAGATTGATGAGCAAGATGAAGTTAAAACAGGAAAGTGCAACAATAATACAAGGGGACAACAAATCAACAATCGAATTGACAAAGAATTCAGTGAATCATGAAAGAAGCAAACACATTGACGTTCGATTCCACTTCATTTGAGAACATGTGAAGGAAGGAAGTGTCGAATTGAAGTATGTAGCAAACAAGGATCAAGCAGCAGATATTTTCACAAAACCACTATCGAAAGAGATCTTCGACAGAGGCAAGAAAATGATAGACATGATGGATGGAAGAAACATTTAAGTTTACAGAGGAGTTTTGTTGAGTAAACTTTAATGTCATTAGTAGTGAGTTTTCTTATTAAATAAAGTAGTAGGAAGGTTAAGAACCAAATGTAATTTGGAAGGTCAAAAGGTAGTAGGTTATAATAGTTTTTATTAATAGCAGTTATCTTTCTTAGAATTGTAGAAGTCTTTTGAGTCTATATAAAGATCAATATTATATTTTATTTTCAGAACAATAAAATATAAAAGTTTGCCTCTTTTTCTAAAATAACTTCAATCAAAATATGCTTCTGTTCTAACATGAACTGCATTAGCTTTAGTCAAATATCCATTTTATGAATAAGTGATCTTCAACCTAGGAGTGAGTGAGAGACTTATGTGAGAAATTAAAATATGATAAAATTATAACACGACAAAACATAAAAACAAGTAGATTGATCATGTTATCACCGGAGCAGTTTCAGTCATCAAGGAGAGAATATGAGATACAATTTTTAAGGTGACATGTCATTGAGACAACATCCCTTAAAATTGGAACGAAACATTACGAAGAAGATTTAGGATACAAGCAGTTTGAATGAAGAGTCGATATTTGCCTTAGACTATCCTATTTTGTTGAGGTATATGATGACATTATGATTTGAATCAATGCCGTGCACACTTAGGACGAGGCTTGCATAGGACGGCCCTCCTTAAGGGCAATTCTGATTATTTCTAAGAAATTATGATTTTCCTATGGAGGCGATAATGGACATGTATCTCCTTTTAAATAATTCTGAGTTGGATGTTGATGCACGCTCGAGGTAGAAGGTGGTGGCAAAATATTAGGTTCATCGAAGGGATTCGTGGATCTTTTAACCATTTGGTATGGTTCCTCCTCCTGTTGCTGTTGAGGTGTATTATAAGAAACTTGGTACGGTTGCATGCTTACAAATTGGCCTGGAATGTCGGGATTAACATAGAAACCATTTGGAGGCGCCAATGCCATGTTGTATTGTGTAGGATCATGAATAGCCTGAAAATCAAAAGGATTTGAATTCACTTGGCCTATCTCGTAACCTCCATCATGTTGTGCCGCAGCAACAGCTTCATCGTATAAGCCCTCAAGTTTTAACATGCCCGGTTCTTCACCCTGCTTTTCAAATATTGTAAGTAACAAATACACCGTCTTCTCTTCTCGTCTTCTGCCACTTACAAGAAACAAAAATATAAGACCTACCTCTATATTATCTGCAACTATATTTTGGTCTGTAAAGAGTGCAACTTCCCATCCTGTTACAGGACTGGCTTCATTCTCATCGTTGCTGGAACTTATAGAACTTTCTGTGTAATTTGTACATGCATAAAAAGAAACTAGTTAGGTGAATTTTTATATGTTTTTGCACCATCCACCTTAGAATATTCTTGAAATGTTTTTGTACAATACCGGTTGGAACAATCGCCAATGCAAGGGGATTTTCATCAAATTCAGATGCACCTGTTAGTAAGTCATACAAACCCTAACATAATAGAGAAAGTCATATATATGAGAAGAAAGTATGTTATGTGAATGGCTGAAAGAGAAAAAAAAACAGTACTTGTTTGTTATACTTACCATAAGATCAGCTGCTTGTGTTGGTGCAGTAGCCTCATTCCCTTCCGCCGGAGAAGGATCTGACTCGTCTAGACTCACCAAATCGCCTACATCATTACCAGTACCTCCTTCCTCTTTGTCATTCTGATAATAAGCAAATTTAGTTAGAACACAAAGTAAAACGCACGGGTTTTTAACTAGTTCAGAGGCTATCTAGCATCATACCACGTCGTACTCGAGCATTAAGGTATTGGGAGCCTCTTTGATATATTCTTCCATGGTAGCTATAAAGGATGCAGGAGGCTGCAAAATATATACATATACTTAGGATGAAATTGCACGTGCCTTTAATATTGCTCGATAAGAAGGCTATACCTGTTTAATATTGACGAATTTCTGTCCTCTTCCAAAATCTAGGCCCCTGCAGGTGACAAAGAACTCAGATAACCTCTCTGCCTACAGCAACAAACAAACTTCAATTGGATTTCAATACATGCACAATCTCAAAATTCCAAAGCTTCACTCAACACGTATCACCTGACTTCCTGATTTTCTATATATCTTTAGTGCACTAACAGCATCGTCACGGTTCATTTCGAAAAACTGTGCGCGTGAAACAAATAGTACAAGTCTGTCAATATGTTGTTACCTTACATTAATCATAACTGTCCATATGAATGAATGCATGCTATATATCGTTCACCTTGTCAAGTAATTCCACCACTCTAACAGTTATTGCAACATATATTTTCACGCTTTCGCCAGCAATCTGAACATCACATAGTAAAGAGTCTAAACAGAAGAACAGAAAACTAGACTCTCAAAATTTCCATGTAAATGTATCTTATTACCATGGAAAGAGCATACTGAATCAAGCGATTAAAAGCAGATGCACCCCCTGGCTGCAAGCAATCGAGTGAATGAGTAATAGAAAGTGGCAAAAACAACAAGTGATTGATATGATGAATGTAACCTTGGAATCAAGAAGCCGAAAGATAACAAGTGATTGATATGATGAATGTAACCTTGGAATCAAGTAGCCGAAAGAGAAGACTTTGTAGGGCTGGCAACTGCTCCATCAATTCCTTGGTTTCAAGTTTTTCCGAAGAAGATTTCTGTATGTATATACAGAAACAACACAAGTTGCAGATGAAAAAGGGAAATTGAGTTAAAAAGCAATGAAGGAATAGAATATAATTACTTACTGAGGTATAGGTTGCGACATCATGGTTGACAATGAGGAAACATTGCAGGCGCTCTCCGAGGTAAAGACCGTAGTTGCGTATCCAAGCAGAATAATCCAAGGAATTTGGCATTGAGGAATCATGAAAGTGAGATAGATCAATCAAATGGCCTCTACCTGTAGTATAGTTAACAAGCTCTTCCCAAACAGTATTGTCAAGTTCTCTCATGGCGCGATGCATGATAATAAGTGTTTTCAAAACAACAGCCCAATTGGTAGTTTGCTTGAGACGCCTTGCAAGAGTATGTATACAATAAGCAACCTCGCTGCGAGGCTTTGATGGAGAAAGTGACTGGAAAATATCTGCATGCATGCATGCACCATAATAATATTCAATTGCTACGGTGTAAAGCTTTCCGTGTCAACATAGCAATGCTCTAAAAAGAATATGACATACATCGAATGTGTTTTTCCTTTGGTAATGAATGGTCAAAGCTTGTTGCCTTAACAATTGCAGCATCCAAGCTCTGTGAGAATAATCACCAAATCAATAAACTAACATAGAATAGATTGAAATTTCATTCTTGGTTTAATAAGTTACCTTATAATCGCCATGGAATTTTTGCGATCTAAATGCCTTCTTCATCTCACCTCACCTCTGCCTGCCAATCTCTTCAAATCCAAAGTGAAGAAATTTACATGAACAAGAGAAGAGAAAAACTTGGGTTCGGAAGATAGGTGAAAAAGTTGGTGATTTGTGGATATAAATAAACACGCAAATGGAATGTGCGCAAAACCTGAATTGCCGCCGTTTATAACCACCATCCATTTTATTTCTCATGTTACATACAATCTACTACATTCCTCAACTTGTGCTCTAAGCCCCGTACTATTTTTTATTTATTTAAAATAATTAAGAATAAACGATGGATATGTTATGATTCTTTTGTAATTTATATTCTAATTATATTAGGTTTAATTAGTTTTTATATGTAATTATTTTATTTGTATTTTTTTCTGCAATCTTATATTATAAATAGGAGTTTTTTTATTGTACTTGAAACACACAATGAAAACACAAAAATATTATTATTCTTTTTTTTTTTAGGGTTTACCTAATATCAAAGAGCTTAGGTTTTAACTCCTTTTTCCTTTTGAGTTTTTTTCGGCAGCAATTCTTTCTATCGCTTTCACTCGGTAACTCATTCTTCTTTACCTTATACTAGATTACCACTTTATCACTTATCACATGTATTTCTGTTATGTTTTCTGTTAAACTTTATTATGTTAGGTTTCAGAGATATGAGGTTACTCGCCCAATCATCATAATTCTCGATGGCTCAAATTATAATCAATGGACTGAAGCGATACGTGGATTCCTAAAAGATCGTCAACTTTAGCGATACATAACAGGCAATAAAAAGTGTCCGACGAGATGTGTCAGTGAAGCTTTAGAGGCCTATGGCGATAATTAGAGGAATGGGAAAGCAAGAATCATCAAATCATTACTTGGTTTCGGAGTAGCTCCATTCCGAATATTCATCTTTAGTTTAGGAGATTTGAGAATGCCAAAGAGATATGAGGTTATTTAAAACAACATTATACTATCTTTAGTTTATCTCATCAATATCATATTGAAATATCTTAGTAAGTTGGAACAACAATATGGTCAACCTATTTATGAGTTTTTAGCACAAATAAAAGTTATTTGGAATCAATTAGCCTCATGTGAGCCTTCTCTGAAAGATGGTACTAACCTAAAAACATATGAGACCCATTGCAATCGCATTTGACTATTTTAGTTTCTAATGACACTCATTGATGATTATGAACCAATTGGAGCTTCCTCATTGCGCCAAAACCCTTCGCCTACACTAGAGAATGCTCTTCCTTGTCTCAAGTCTGAAGAAACTAGATTGGGAATCATTCACCAATAAGTTGATCATTCCTTTGTAGTTACAAATAAGCCTACCAAAATTTATTGTCGTTGTCGTAAGTCTGGTCATAATTGCATGAAAAATGGTCATATTGCTTCAAATTATTGTCGATACTTCTAGACACCTAGACACTTAATTGATAATTGTCCTACTTGTTCTCCATATTCTTATCAGAATAAAAATCAACCTCGTCCCAACTCTTCAAGCACTTGCAGTTGTTGTTGCTACTAATGAATCTATAGAGTCCTCTCCACCAGCCTTCTTGGTCAAAAATTTTAAGTCTCTTCTTAGACAACTTTTTCCTTCTAGTAATATTATTGCTGCTTTTTTTACCATACAAGTGAATCTATAGAGTCCTCTCAGCCAGTATTCTCAGTTTCGTTTCATTCCTAAATTAAATTTTAACCTTATTTATATTGGCCAATTATATGATCTTGGTTATGAACTAACTTTTTCATCCTCTAGCTGTCGTGTGCAGGATACATAGACAGGAAAACTGATTGGGAATGGATGTAAGATCAGAAGGCTATGTATGCTCACTCAAATGCATGTTTCTCATGAGTCGAACATTTGTGACGCTTCCTTAGATTCATCTATTAAACTTTGACATTGTCTTCTTACCCATATTTATATTAGAAAATTACATCATATAGTGTCTTAAGGTCCTTTAGGACTTGTCAATAATGAGTCCTTTGATTGTACTGCTTGTCAAACTGCTAAATAACCAACTTTATCTTTTAATAAAATTACTTCTATTTCAATTACACCATTTGATCTTGTACATTCTAATATTTGGGGTCATGCTCCCATACCTACTATGGGAAGTTCTCCATATTATGTGTTATTTATTGATGATTCTTATCGATTTACTTGGATATAAATGATGAAAAATTGGCATAAGCTTTCTCAAATTTACATTTACTTTGCCAAAATTATTCAAACACAATTTTCTAAAACCATTAAAAAATTGATGAGATAATGCCATGGAATATCGTATCTCTAATCTCTTATCTTTTCTTGGTGAGCATGGTCCTTATTACCAATTATCTCCCTTATTTTGTCCTTGGTAACGTCTCATTTTTTTAGTGTCTTTATATTACTACACCATATTACAAGTCACTTAAGGTGTTTGGTTGTGCTTGTTTTATCCTCATTCAACCTCATGAATATGCTAAACTTGAGCATCATGTTTGCCTATGTTGTTTTCTTGGTTATGGAATGAACACGAGGGTTATAGAAGTTGGGACCCAATATCTCAGCGCATATGTATCTCTCACCATGTTATATTTTGGGAACACATGATTTTCTACTCCTTGTAAGAATTTACCTTAATATCGTCCACTTCTGCTCCTCTCTTTACTAGCTGTAATGTCAATTACTTTCTTAATGACACATATACAGGTTCTAAAACATATGTAGGTTCTTCTAGTGATCCCTCAAGCTCTTTTGATGTTCCATCCACTTCTCTTGATGATGTTCCGGCTATTGTTCCTACACATCCCACCATTGAGATTCCTTTGAGGGTAAGAAATCATCCTACTTATATTTGTGATTACCATTGTTTTTCTATTATGCTTCACCGTCATGAACCATAGTCCTATAAAGAAGCCTCTATAAATCCAAATTGGCAGCAAGTTATGCCTGAGGAATTACATGCATTGGAAAGAAGCTATATATGGGACCTTGTTGAACCTTCTTATGATAAGCCTCTTCTAGGATGCAAGTGGATATATAAAATAAAGACTTTTTTGATAGACCTATTGAGCAATACAAAGCTTGTCTAGTGGAAAAAGGCTTCACTTAAGAGTATGGTATTGATTATGAAGAAACATTTGCTCATGTTGAACACATCACCTCTAATTGAACCCTTTTTTTCCATTGCAACCACTCGAAAATGGGTACTTACACAAATGGATGTCAAAAATGTATTTCTGAATTATTATCTAAAAGAAGAAGTTTATATGTGTCCTCCTTTAGGCTATACCTTCTAGGCGAATAAAGTGCGTTGTCTTCGTAAGGCACTATATGGGCTTAAGCAAGCACGTCGAGCTTTGTTTTCTAAATTTCATAGTACTATCACTCTATTGGGTTTCTCTTCCAGGTCTTATGATTGTTCTCTTTTTACTCAAAAAATAAATAATGGTACGATTGTCTTACTTCTTTATGTTAATGACATGATTATCATTGGTGATGACTCTGTTGTAATTGAAGAGATCAATAAATTCTTTTGTGACCACTTTGAGATGAAGGATCTTGGACCATTAAGTTACTTTCTAAGACTTGAGGTTTTATCTTCTAGTGTTGACTTATTTATGTCATAAGTTAAGTATGCTTCTGATCTTTTTTCTCGAGCAGGTCTCGGCGATTATAAAATTGAAAATACTCTCTAGAACCCAATGTTCAATTTACTCCTCAAGATGGTACCTTGCTCGACGATTCCATTCTTTATTGGCAGCTCATATATAGATTCATTTACCTCACAGTTACTAGACCAGATATATCATATGTTGTTCATTTGGTTAGTTAATTCATGGCATCTCCACGTACCACTCATTATGATGTTGTCCTTCGCACTATTTGTTTTATTAAGAACACCATGTTTTATGGTATAAACTACTCATGGACATATTCATTGGTTTTTAGATCCTACTTTGATGTCTATTGGACCAGTGATCCTAGTGGCAAACTTTGAGATTCTCTTATTTATTGGCATAGTAAGAAATAAACTTTGACATCCCGCTCTAGCATTGAATCTGAATATCTTGCTCTTGCTAATATGACCTCTGAGATATTATGGATTCGTTGGCTTTTTGTTTATTTAGATACATTTCAACCTTCACGGAAAGATATTTATTGTGACAATCATAGTGCCATTCAAATTTCCCACAATGATGTTTTCTATGAGCGAACAAAACATATTAAAATTGATTATCACTTCATTCATTAGTATCTTCTACATGGTAAACTTCATCTTATCTCCATTGGCAGTCTTAACCAACCCTCTGATTTGTTCACCAAAACCTCATTCTCTTGGTCTCTTCCACACTTTAGTTTCCAAACTCAAATTGTTTACGGTTCCACTCAGTTGAGTTTGAGAGGGATGTTATGATATGTTATAATTATCTCATTATTATAATTAAATTATGTTTAATTAGTCTTTATGTTTAATTATTTTATTTCTTTCTTTGTATGCAATCCTATATTGTAAATAAGAGTTTTTGATTGTACTTGAAACACAATGAATACATAAGTATTATTCTTATCCCCGTGAGTTTCTACATCCAATTTTAGAACAAATTTAAGCAATCTATTTTGTTCAACTTTTTTAGAGGTCTTACTTCCACATAAGTATTTATTGTTGGATGTATTTTTCTGTTAATTTTAAATATGTTTTCTTCTTACTACTTTTTATATCATTTTAACCAATATACATTATATATTTTGTACCAACAACCACATTATGTCCATTTCTTCACAAAAGCAACAACACCACAAAATAACTGCTTTCACTAGACCGTCCATGCATAACTCTTACTTAAACACATGGGTAGGGGCAAATCCATATATTATATATTGGTGTGGCTAAACATGAAATAAATTATGAATTAAATTATATTAAAAATAAGAAATAATATTGTTTAAAGAAATACATTTATAATGAAAATTTTCTATCAAATACGAGGGATTAGAAAATATAAAAGTGATGGAG